CTATATATGACATTAAAAAAGCCCTTTTTAACTTCCAGAACCTCAATATCTCCTTACTCTGGATCCCTAGCCATGTAGGCATTCCAGGTAACGAAAGAGCTGACCAACTGACAAAACTTCTTCCACTTGCTCACAAGGTTGAAGGAAAACTCTACTACAAACAACTAATCCTCTTCATTAAAAAACAGAGTTTCTCAGATTGGGCAAAAGAATGGCACGACTGCACTTGGAAAGGCCAAAGACTCAAAACTTTGATGCCGCATCTCTCTACCCGCCCTTGGTTCTCCAAATTTCACTGGAATAGAAAAGACATTAAAAATCTTATTAGAGCCAGAATAGGACACGGTCTATATCCCTCCCATCTACACAGAATAAATTTACGAGCTTCTGATCTGTGCAATTGCGGACTAACTGGCGACCTCAACCATATCTTCTCTCAGTGCCCCCTACTACAACATGATGCCTTCTTTAAAAATTTAATTAACGCTAATTACTTCCCCCCCTTCAATATTTCGTTCATTCTTCATAACCCTCTCCCTTCTATCTATAAAATAATCACCGAGTTCTTAAACCAGAATAATATCTCTTTATAAAAGCCCGTAATGATAACAAGCCCTTCATCACCCAATTCTCCTCCCCCCTAGCTATTCCCATTCCCGCCCTTTAAGTACATCCATCTATCTCTCTAATCCTACAAAACCCTACAAATCTACCTTTACACCTAATGTTCACTTAGTATATTTTCCAGGACCCAGTCTACCATAGGTTTAGTCGCCACAGTGGGTCTTGTGGCGTGAAGATGGTGTTGGTACCCCCTCAGTCCCCTTTGCATATCTACTCCCTATCCCCCCACTTAATTCTCTCCTCAACATTTTAACCACTTACCTACCACAATGTGTCTATAGATGGCTGTGGGCTCCACACCGGAGCATGAAGCCAATAAACCATCATAGAAGAAGAAGAAGAAGAAGATAGAGGTTATTCTAATGTTATTGTTTGGATCCAATTCGATATTATGGAGAATCCCTATGATGACGCGCCATAATAGCTTCGATATTTCCAACAATTGCTCAGTTTCGAATTTCTTTTAATTTTTTTCACTTTTACAGTCATTGCTAGCTTGCACAAGGCTCTGTTTTATGCACTTTGGGTAAAGTATTTCCACTTAATGGACTTTTTCAAACCATATTAGTACTACTTGGACTTAAGGTAGGGTGGTCGATATTAAACCGATACTTTCAAAGTATCGATACTCATCAATACTTGGCATCGATACTCAGCAGTATCGTTACTATGTAGTGTCGCTCCTCAAACCCCAATTTCGATGATATCAGTACTTTATTTGATTTTGCCATGGAGAAGGCCTCTTTTTCTTTGATCACAACTTCTCTCTCTTCTGTTTCACCTTGAATATGCACTGTGACAAACTACAGGGTAATCAGGTTTCTCAAGATGATTACTTTCGTTAAAAAAGTTGAAAGCTCGGATCGATAACAGTAGTGAAGGGCTCTGACTAAGCAGGCGGATAAGGGCGGTATTGAGAGAAGCATAAGTCTGGCTGAATTAAACGGTCGAAAGACATAGGCACACTAATAATTACGGCATCATTTAGGAATAGTATCCATGGTACCAATACCGCAAGAGTATCGATACTTCAGCTCGATGCTCGATATCGCTATCGAAGCTTAGAGTCGATACTTCCTCGAGTATCAACATCCCTAACTAAAGGGCATGAAGGTATAGATGCTAGGTACTAGTATCGACGTCATCCGTCATCATACGGATTTTCCATGAACTCGAATTGTAACCATACAATGACATTTGCACAACCTTTTTTGATGCTACCGATGCAAAAAAGTCAAAAGATATCACTTTTCTGTGAGATGGCACTAATAGCGTCTAGAGAGGGTCTAATCTCAAAATTTTGAACTGTTGGAGGGGAAGTAATAGATAATAATCGCAGTTTCGCCTCTTCTAATATTAATTGGATAATAATCGAATAGTTTCACCAATACTCGATTGTGATGCGATTATCTTGGTAGCAATGGCTCGAATATCGAATATTCGATTATTCAAATATTCGACCATCCCTAGTTTTGAGCTGGTTCCTGTTAATTAACAGTTTTAGGGATGAACAGTTGAAAATGGTAAAGGCCAAGGAAGTAGGCAACCGATCTGCTTGTTTACCTTAAAACTCCAATCAAAATCAGCTAACTGCAAGGAAGACTTTGATTCCATTCTGGATGCTTTGATACTTCACAAACTGAGATGTAAGTTCTTGAATGACACTTCAGCAGCATGCCAGCATGAAGTAATTTTCGCTTGAATTTATTCAAGATTTCAGGACAAGGTACACTCTACTACAGGTATGGACAAATGGAATTTTAGAAAGTCGTCAAAACGCGTAGATTTGACAGCATCGAGAGTACGACTGCGAAGAGCGAAGACATACGCGGCAAATGGACGGTAAGGTAACAGCACCAGTACCCGGAATGGTACCAGTATCCGGAACATCGCTCAGTTTTTCGTAAAAAATAAGCGGTAGGTACATCAGTGCAAAAAGGGCATCAGGGTTTCACAAATTACACTCAGAGGGCGCCACCTTGCAATAAGTGTGATGGTCGTGCGCTCCTTTTATTATCTGTACCATGCTTCTATAGTGACGTATTCACAGAACGAACCGCTCTGTGAATACGTCACTATAGAAGCATGGTACAGATAATAAAAGGAGCGCACGACCATCACACTTATTGCAAGGTGGCGCCCTCTGAGTGTAATTTGTGAAACCCTGATGCCCTTTTTGCACTGATGTACCTACCGCTTATTTTTTACGAAAAACTGAGCGATGTTCCGGATACTGGTACCATTCCGGGTACTGGTGCTGTTACCTTACCGTCCATTTGCCGCGTATGTCTTCGCTCTTCGCAGTCGTACTCTCGATGCTGTCAAATCTACGCGTTTTGACGACTTTCTAAAATTCCATTTGTCCATACCTGTAGTAGAGTGTACCTTGTCCTGAAATCTTGAATAAATTCAAGCGAAAATTACTTCATGCTGGCATGCTGCTGAAGTGTCATTCAAGAACTTACATCTCAGTTTGTGAAGTATCAAAGCATCCAGAATGGAATCAAAGTCTTCCTTGCAGTTAGCTGATTTTGATTGGAGTTTTAAGGTAAACAAGCAGATCGGTTGCCTACTTCCTTGGCCTTTACCATTTTCAACTGTTCATCCCTAAAACTGTTAATTAACAGGAACCAGCTCAAAACTAGGGATGGTCGAATATTTGAATAATCGAATATTCGATATTCGAGCCATTGCTACCAAGATAATCGCATCACAATCGAGTATTGGTGAAACTATTCGATTATTATCCAATTAATATTAGAAGAGGCGAAACTGCGATTATTATCTATTACTTCCCCTCCAACAGTTCAAAATTTTGAGATTAGACCCTCTCTAGACGCTATTAGTGCCATCTCACAGAAAAGTGATATCTTTTGACTTTTTTGCATCGGTAGCATCAAAAAAGGTTGTGCAAATGTCATTGTATGGTTACAATTCGAGTTCATGGAAAATCCGTATGATGACGGATGACGTCGATACTAGTACCTAGCATCTATACCTTCATGCCCTTTAGTTAGGGATGTTGATACTCGAGGAAGTATCGACTCTAAGCTTCGATAGCGATATCGAGCATCGAGCTGAAGTATCGATACTCTTGCGGTATTGGTACCATGGATACTATTCCTAAATGATGCCGTAATTATTAGTGTGCCTATGTCTTTCGACCGTTTAATTCAGCCAGACTTATGCTTCTCTCAATACCGCCCTTATCCGCCTGCTTAGTCAGAGCCCTTCACTACTGTTATCGATCCGAGCTTTCAACTTTTTTAACGAAAGTAATCATCTTGAGAAACCTGATTACCCTGTAGTTTGTCACAGTGCATATTCAAGGTGAAACAGAAGAGAGAGAAGTTGTGATCAAAGAAAAAGAGGCCTTCTCCATGGCAAAATCAAATAAAGTACTGATATCATCGAAATTGGGGTTTGAGGAGCGACACTACATAGTAACGATACTGCTGAGTATCGATGCCAAGTATTGATGAGTATCGATACTTTGAAAGTATCGGTTTAATATCGACCACCCTACCTTAAGTCCAAGTAGTACTAATATGGTTTGAAAAAGTCCATTAAGTGGAAATACTTTACCCAAAGTGCATAAAACAGAGCCTTGTGCAAGCTAGCAATGACTGTAAAAGTGAAAAAAATTAAAAGAAATTCGAAACTGAGCAATTGTTGGAAATATCGAAGCTATTATGGCGCGTCATCATAGGGATTCTCCATAATATCGAATTGGATCCAAACAATAACATTAGAATAACCTCTATCTTCTTCTTCTTCTTCTTCTATGATGGTTTATTGGCTTCATGCTCCGGTGTGGAGCCCACAGCCATCTATAGACACATTGTGGTAGGTAAGTGGTTAAAATGTTGAGGAGAGAATTAAGTGGGGGGATAGGGAGTAGATATGCAAAGGGGACTGAGGGGGTACCAACACCATCTTCACGCCACAAGACCCACTGTGGCGACTAAACCTATGGTAGACTGGGTCCTGGAAAATATACTAAGTGAACATTAGGTGTAAAGGTAGATTTGTAGGGTTTTGTAGGATTAGAGAGATAGATGGATGTACTTAAAGGGCGGGAATGGGAATAGCTAGGGGGGAGGAGAATTGGGTGATGAAGGGCTTGTTATCATTACGGGCTTTTATAAAGAGATATTATTCTGGTTTAAGAACTCGGTGATTATTTTATAGATAGAAGGGAGAGGGTTATGAAGAATGAACGAAATATTGAAGGGGGGGAAGTAATTAGCGTTAATTAAATTTTTAAAGAAGGCATCATGTTGTAGTAGGGGGCACTGAGAGAAGATATGGTTGAGGTCGCCAGTTAGTCCGCAATTGCACAGATCAGAAGCTCGTAAATTTATTCTGTGTAGATGGGAGGGATATAGACCGTGTCCTATTCTGGCTCTAATAAGATTTTTAATGTCTTTTCTATTCCAGTGAAATTTGGAGAACCAAGGGCGGGTAGAGAGATGCGGCATCAAAGTTTTGAGTCTTTGGCCTTTCCAAGTGCAGTCGTGCCATTCTTTTGCCCAATCTGAGAAACTCTGTTTTTTAATGAAGAGGATTAGTTGTTTGTAGTAGAGTTTTCCTTCAACCTTGTGAGCAAGTGGAAGAAGTTTTGTCAGTTGGTCAGCTCTTTCGTTACCTGGAATGCCTACATGGCTAGGGATCCAGAGTAAGGAGATATTGAGGTTCTGGAAGTTAAAAAGGGCTTTTTTAATGTCATATATAGATATAGTAGGATGAAGGTCGAAAGCCTGGTTGATTAGGTTGGTTAGTACACTATGTGAGTCTGTGCATATTAGAACATTGTAATAATTATGAAGAGTTATATGTTTGATAGCTTCACTAATAGCAAATGCCTCAGCATCAAAAATGGAAGAGTAAGTAGAGAGACTAAACACTTTGAAGAAGTCATTGACAACAAAGACTGAGGTTGTGTAGGTATCTGTTTTAGCTCCGTCAGTATAATAGTGTAAATAGTTAGGATACTTGAGATTCACATGCGCCAAGAATTCCGTTTGGATAATGTAGGGCATAATGGAGTTTTTATTTTTGATGTTTAGGAAATCCACATTAGGTTGGAAAAATTGGAAGGATGGGGACACTGATAAATTTGGAGGTTTTGAGAATTTTATTAAGTCTTTTTCAAATTTTTTTATAGCGTGCCAGCGGTAAAGGAATAAAGGATACTGTTTGTTTGACCACCAAGGGCTGTTAAGAACTGAAGATTCCAGCATTTTGGTGTCATTAATTATAGAGTTCTATTGAAAGCTCATGGCTTTGAGAAAGGTTTTGTCGGTGAGGTAGTTAAATCGGTATTGGATCGGAGGGATAGATGCTTCAGCATTTAAATTATTGGTAGGAGTAGAGGATAATGCGCTCAATACTTTACGGATACATTTATTTTGTATTTTATTTAACTGGTCCATCATAGAAAAGTTATTACAGTAAATAGGGAGACCAAAGTCTAGAATAGGTCTGATCATATTAAGGAATAAGAGCCTTGAGATATTTTGATTAGCGCCCCAATTCGCTCCGAGTAAGAAGGACATGAAGTTCAGTTTAGACTCTACTTTACTTTTAATGTGACGAAGATGCTCTTGCCAATTCATTTTTTGATTATAGATTAAGCCCAAGTATCTTACAGACACTGACACTGGAAACTCGTAGTTTAGAAGTTGTATAGTTAGGTTTTTAGGAATTCTACGGTTAGTGAAAATTATAATTTTAATTTTATGAAACGACAGATCAAGGCCCAAATCGATAATTGTGTTATATACTTTAATGAAGTCAGAGGCTAATTTGTTTAGAGCTTCTTGGAGATTATGATTTAAAATGTATATAACCGCGTCATCCGCATATTCTGATATAGAAGAGAAGGACAAGATTTTATGAAGATCCATTGAATAGATCAGATATAGAAGCGGGCTCAGAATTCCTCCTTGTGTGAGGCCTTTTGGACTAATCCTAGGACCCCATGTTTTAAAGTTATAGCTTATTAATATTTTGTTATTGGATATAAGATTGAAAATGATTTTGGCCAGATCTTGATTAAGACCAATTTGAATAAGTTTTTTGTATAGAATAGAGTAATTTACATTGTTGTATGCATTTTTTATATCCAGAAAAATGGTTGGCATGAACATTTTTTCACCTATGGCCTTGTAGGCTTGGCAAGAAATGTTGAATAAGTTATGATAAATATTTTTACTTTTTCTAAAACCAAATTGGAATGGAGATAATTTATTATAGGATTCTACGAAAAGTTCAAGTCTTCCTAACAGAATTTTCTCAAATAACTTTCTCATGACTGACACGATTCCTAAAGGTCTGTAATCTGAGGCAGAGTTCGGGTTTACGTCTTTTTTTGATTGGGTAAATATTTTAATTTCTTTCCAGGATTCAGGAATGACTTTTGTGGAAAGTATTTCATTGAAAATTTGAAGAAGAATAAGTTGGGCTTTAGTAGAGGATTTTGTGATGAATTCGACCTCAACCATGTCTAGGCCAGGGCTTTTCTTTTTGATTTTGGATATGGCTAGTTTGAGCTCTTCAATAGAAAATTTTTCGAAGGAATCTCCGAAGGTTGTCTGTTCGGACCATTGAGGATAGAATGTGGAGTCTGGAGTAAGGGTATTTAAAAAGTCATCAACCCAGTCTTCTTTTGAATTAATAAAGGGAATTCGAGCCCTTTTTAGGAGTTTAACTTTTTCGAAGATAACTTTTGTGGGGGTATTATGGTTTAAGCTTTCCGTGAATAATTTCCATTGTTTTTTTTTGTTCTTTTTGATGAGCAGTTTGAATTCCGCGCATAGTCTTTTATATTCTAGGAAAAGCTCCATACTGGCGTTAGTTTTATATAATTTGGCTAAGAGGTCACGTTTATTTTTCAATCGTTGACACTGCTCGTCCCACCAAGGGATTTTTTTGAATTTTTTTTTCTTTTCTCTCAGTGACAAAGGGAGGCCGGGACTTTCTTTGGAGTCGATTAACTGGATTTCTTTTTCGATACTTAGAGAATGTGCTTTTAGACTTATGTTGATGAATTCTTCATAGGTATATAAAGGTTCAGTAAGGAGAGAATCCTGAATTTTACGAAAACTACTCCAGTCCTTAAGTCGGTGGCTAGGTGTGAACGGAGCCGCATTTAGAGAATTGGTAGAGGGGAGAAGGGGGGAATTTACCTGTCTGTTGAAAATGTATTGACATGGATAGTGATCACTGCCTCCAGTAGGTAGGGCTTCCCATTCAAGGGTTTGGGTCAAAACGTCTGAGATAAACGCAATATCGGTATAGCTAGGCTCTTGTGTCGGTGAGGTTTTCCTTGTGGGCTGAGGGCAGAGTGAGTTGATGTTAAAAAGTTCAAGATCTTCGGCTAGTTCCACCAAGGTATTGCCTTTGTTATCACTAAGTGGATAACCCCACATAGGATGTTTGGCATTGAAGTCGCCTCCCATAAACAGAGGTTTATTAGTTAGGTTGTTAGTTGATAGAAAATTAGTCAGGTCAGTTTTAGTGAATTGACTTTCAGGGTGGATGTAAATATTTAGGAAGAATAGATCTAAGTTGTTGTCCAGGTTTACTTTAAACGCCTGGGTTTCAATTCTTTTAGTAAGAAGATGTCTATTGTCCAAAGTGATTGGGTAAGAGGTGTACTTGGTTTTTATGAGCGAGACTAGGCCACCATAACCGTCATCACGGTCATCTCTGTAGCAGTTATAGCCTGGGAATTTTTTAATTATGTTTGGTTTTAACCAAGTTTCTGAAAGTAAGATAATGTCAGGGTCGTGATCTCGGATAATTAACCTAAGGTCGGTATCGTTCGAGAGTAAGGAGTGAATGTTCCACGTAAGGAGGGAAAAGTTAGGCGGTATAACTACCTGAAAAGTGTTAGGCATAAAATTTAAGAAATAACAGAGTAACAAAAAAGGGAATAAATGGGAGAAGTAAGAAGAATGCGTAGAACACAAATTGGAACAGTTTTATTGAACAGATAAAGTGAAATTAAAAAGTTTTAGTCTGAAAGTTAAGATCTGTACTATTTCGGTTGCGTAGTATTGTGTATGGTAGGAGCTGGGTTGTCTATATTTGTAGTGTTAGAAGGGGGAAGGCGTTGAGAAGATTTATTTGATTGTATGGAATTTTTATTGACTGGGCAGGTTAGTGAGGCTGGAGGGGTTTTTTGAGGTTTTTGGTTTGGTTTGTTAGGTTCTTGTACTGGGAGAGCATTATGTGAAGTGAGGTTTGAAAGTTGGTTTCTAGTGGAAGAAGAGGATTCGGTTGTAAGGACGGAAGTGGTAGAAGAAGAATTTTTGACATTGTTATTTGTTTTCGACGAGTTCGAGAGAGGTAGGGAAGATTGTGGTTGTGAGGGTTTCAAAGGGCTAGAGTTTGCCATCCTGGGACTGGGGGAAAGAGTATTCACCGACTCCCCAGTTACGCCTATATTTTTTTTGATCCATTCGGCAGAAGGGAGAGAGTCGTCAAAGGAGTGTTTTGATTTTTTCCTAGTGGGAGAGGGGGAGGCCACTACATCAGCATATGGTCTCCTCAGGTCATCCAAAGAATACCTATAATTATTAACTACATCCATAGGTTCAGCTAAGTTAGAGAAAGAATTATTTGCAGGAGGAAAATTAGCGGCTTGAACTACCTCAAGGGAAGTTCTTTCGTTATTCATTGAGTTCTTATGGATATTTTGAATGCGTTCGTTAATGTTTGAAGTTGAGGTTTCCGTTTGTTGTACATTGAAGATCTCTAACGCTACTGCGAAGGATTCGTTCCGTTGAGCCATTATTTCTTTAAAATTTTTTGTTTTATTAGTTCAGAGCATCCTGGGGAGAAAGTGAGGTGATTTTCGGAACAGTGGAAACATTTCACCGGGTTTGGACATATGTCTTGAGCTACATGAAAAGTAGCACATTTTTGACATCGTTTCTGGCTTTTACAAGTAAGGTTCCCGTTATACTCGGCACGATGACCATAATTTAGGCAGTTTAGGCATTTGGTTACATTGTAGATATAAGGAGTAACGTTACATTTAGCGTAAAAAATATAAAGGAAATCAGGCATGGTCGAACCTTGCCAAAGAATGTCTAGTTTAGAGGTTGGGATTAATGCATTATCCTCATTTTTCCTAAAAATTCTTCTAACGCTTATGATATTGTCATATTTTTCACTAAGAAATTCACCTATACTATCAATGTCTAACTCATGGTGTACATTATTCGCAATGATTCTTCGAGTGGTATATTTGAGAGGAATGTAGCAAGAAAAATGGTCATACGGAATGAGAGAGGTTTGCTTGTCCACAAGGTTGTTGGCATAGCTCTTAGAGATTAGTTCCACATGAATAATGTCTTTATTTACTCTGGAAATAGCTTTAATTCCTTCAACCTTATTTTTATAGAAAAGTTATCCAATTAAGGTTGGGTGCTTATTTCCTATACCTTCTTTTGCTATTGCTACGATGAAAGGAGCAGGAGAATTTGGCTGGTATCTCAGGCTAGATTTATCTTTGACAATGAATGCCTTTCTAGAGGAATCAAACGTACTAGAGCTATTCGCATTTATATGAGTGATAGAGGTAGTTTGTGGGTTAGGTAAAGACGTAGAGGTATTAGAGGGGTTTAAGCCAGGATCTCCAGGGGGTCCATGGAGTGTTCCCCCGTGGGATTGGGGGGCTGAATTTAAGTCATGCATGGTAGGACTTACATAAGAAGTTAGGTTAGGTTACCACAATGTGCCACAAATTCATCACAGAACTGAGAAATTAAGGAAAATAAACGAAAAAATGCCTTCAATGGCTAAACTAAAGATTACTTTGATGAAAGAAGCTAAGCAAAACTATTGAAGAGAGAGAAATTGTTCAAAGGCCTAAATAGTAGATTCCGAACAACGTGTATGTACTAAGGACTGTCGAGGAACTGAACCTCTATCTTTGCTACCAATGTGGAAAAATCAATATTTATCGCTTTTTTGTGACGTGGCACTAATAGCGTCCAGCGTCTGGAATGTTAACCTTGTAGTATTTGATATTGCAAGATTCGATTTCTCAAATAATCACAATCTGAAAGCTTCCAATAATCAACTTCAACATATGTTGATCCCTACTATAGCTGCGCAAGGCGGATAAAGAATGGTGGTCGCATTTCGTACCCTCTGGACGTCACACGGTATCGGGTACATGGGCCGGCCGAGGCCGGGGGAGCCGGCTCAACCTCGAATTGCATGGCAAAAACCGTACCCTCTTGACGTCACAGCGCTTCAAGATGGCAGCCAAAATCGAAATGCGACCACCATTCTTTATCCGCCTTGATAGCTGCGTTGTCGAAGTAAACTGTTGGGGACCGTTGGGCAACGGAATTATCCGATTCCAAACGCTCGGCATTGTTCGACTTCCGTTGGGATTGCCCGATGTCCTGGAATGTTTACCAAACGGAAGTCAACAAATCATCGGTCTCAGGAGGTAGTTGAGAGCTTTGAGCTAACCTCTAAATGATATTGTGCACGCGGTGTCACATTTAAAACACAACAGTTTTTAGTCAACAGAGACGACCGACATCGCGTTTCGTCTCCCAACGAGTAAGTAAACGGTCACATGATATCCGTAAGCGTTGAGCAGCCCAAAGCAAACGGAAAGTTTACTTCGACAACGCACCTTAAACAGCTAGGTACCAACCTTGAGATCATTCAAAATATTTAGCTTTTCATCGATTATGATCCTTTCCCTTAGATTTTGAGATGCAACCTAGAGCACTTTCCTTGTAGCATCAGTATCAATGAAGCTCTTGCATGCATCAGATATTTGCAATGTACGTGTTATTTCTCTCGTAAAATTTTGTGAGGAACTTGCTGTTGCTTCCGGTTTTCTTTCAACAAACACCAAAACTCAAGTGAAGGTCTCAAAGTTGAGGTCATAATGAAGGAACTACCCCACACTATCCTGAGAGTTCACCTGTCCATCTAGTCAGGCTTGAGTCTAATGTTCTGTAGAGATTCAGTCTTCAGCCTTGAAGGTCGGGTTACAAAAAATCCTAACAACTTCTCATTGACAACTGATTGGTACGCAGTCTGGAGCATCAATGTAGGGATGGACAAATATCGAATTCGAATGCGAATATACGAAACTTAACGAATGCGATTATTGTGAATATTTGAGAATTGGAATCTTGCAATTGCGAATAGTTCGGATGCAAATATTCGAATATTTTCGATTATTGCTTCGATTTTTGATTTTTTATGAACCATGAGAGATAAAATGACACTTTTGACACTTTTGAATGCGATTATTCGAATTTGCGATTTCGAATACTTCGGAAGCGAATATTCGAATGTGATGCGGTTATCTCGGTGTCGGTGATTCGAATATCGAATATTCGAATATCTAAATATTCGACCATCCCTAATCAATGATTCCTTTCTGCAGACTCTATGCCATGGCACCCTTGGCTACCTGAGCTTATTGGTTCCCAATTTTCCTGACCCAAGGCCCATAACCCTTCAGGAATGGCACAACAAAATAAATTTAATGCGAGTATCACTCAACTGCCCTTTGACCAAATTCTATGGATTCACACTTATTTTCATACTAAAATTTTACATTATTCACGGAGTCACATGAAGATAAAGCATTTGGATACTAGAATTTTAGAGCACTGAGCTTTTCAAGAGGAGAAACTTCACAATTTCCATTACCTATTTATCCTTATGTTAATAAAGGATGATGTATTTAGTAATAACTGCAGGAAGACTACTAAAAATACAAAAGATGAAAATTCTAAATTATTCTGAAGCTCTAAAATCTTTATTTGTTTACTACTCATATTACATTAATTTCATTCTCCTACAGGGTTCGTTTCATCTTACTTAAGTATGTACTACAGGTAGAAAAAAAAATAGTGTTCTGGATGGTCGGAGTCTAATGATTTTCCTCTAAAAATATTGTGTAAAGAACTAGACAACATACACACACAACACAACATACATATCAACGGCATAAGTCCGCAATTACATATCTCGTTTGCGGTGTCTGAAAATCTGAGCCTCTATCTTATTTTTTTAAAGGAGAACAAATTGACATCATTCTTTGAAGTTTCCGCAGAATTTTCTTTGCACAGAGATAAAAAATCACGGCAGTTTCAAAGAATTGCCGTTGAGTAGTTTTCTGTTCAAAAAATAAATATTATATATCAATTGTTACCATCAATGAAATCTGTTACCTTGTTTGAAATTTTAATTATGGCCTTTGTGATATTGATTTTGTGACCCTGACAATGAAGCGTTCGCTTCGAAAAGCTTCGGTCTAAGTTTTAAAAGTTAAGTTAATAAAAGAAATTTTACATTATTTCTAGCACTCGGCTACACTCCAAATTCCAAAAAATAAAGCATAAAATTCTTAGTTTTCAATGATCTTTTCAGTGATGTATCACAAGATAGGGGTTACTGTTTGAAAAAAAAGAGTTGCCCCCCCCCCCCCCCCCCCCCCCCCCC